CTGATAAAGGGTCTCTTTTCGGTCTAAAGAGAGATATCTAATTTTAGTGTTTTTGAGAGAGGCTTAAAAGAAGTTCTCTCGGCAGAAATAGAGATAGATAATCCCCGCATGAGGAATAGGGGTGTATATGGCAGTTTTTCTCTATACACTAATATAGAGGGTTTTTTCTCAAAGAATGGATGCATGTTTGGCGGGGAGTGTGTGTGGAGAAATTTTTTGCGCATGTTTTATAGAAGAGAATTATGGCCTGCAGACACATGTTTTTTTAGTGATTTTATGGGAGAAAGTGTGAGTGAGTGACAAAAATAATGTGTGTGTTACACACACACACACACACACACCCATACACTCTTTTTTTTTGTCATATATAGAGATAGATATATATGTATGTTAATTAATATATATATATATATTTTTTTTTTAATTTTTTTATATATATATATATATATATATAGATATATATATATATATATATATATATATATATATATATATATATATATATATATATATATATATATATATATATATATATATATATATATATATATATATATATATATATATATATATATATATATATATATATATATATATATATATATATATATATATATATATATATATATATATATATATATATATATATATATATATATATATATATATATATGAGCAACTCCAACCCATAAATATCAAAATAAATTATCAAATATTTATTTGATATTTTATATTTTAGTTTGATAGCTAAATAAATTTATTTGCTCCAACCATAGATATCAAATAGTTGATAATAAAAAATAAATAATGTGATTATATATTTTAATTAACACGTGTTATTTTCTAATTGGTTATTTAAGTGGTTAAGTTGTGTAACTTCCAATTGGTATTATTTCTTCCGGGTGTATTTTTACATCCCAAAAATTAAAATATCTAAATAGAAACTCATTTGATAAAAATTTCTAACTTGAATTATCAAAATGGTAGTTAAGGGTTTTGATACCCCATTTAATAACTCCATTAGAGTTGCTCGTTTCTCCCAATATATAGTTATAATTCCCAAACATATCCGAATTTTCTTAATAATGTAGTTATAGTTATAGTTCCAAAATTATATCGTAGTAAGTCCAAAATTTAAATTATTTGTACTTGTTTTTTTAATACAAAATTATTTGGACCTCTACTATTGGGCCCAAATGGAGTTGTTACAAGGACCTATGTTATTGGACAATTTGTAAATTTAATACAATGATTGCCCAAGTAAATATACTTTTGCAGGATTCTGTAAGAATTTGGGTCTAATACCCCTAAAATTTATATATGGATTCGAATTTTGGACTTTACTATGGGGTTTATGTCATTAAATCAAAAGATTTGTATTCAAGCTATTTTTCACCAAGCCCACATAAAAAAGAAATGGAAAGAGAGAACCCAAAAAATAGTTTATGTTTTCAAGAGGCACGTGTTATGGCGTTTGAGTATTACATACGATTAGAGATGTAAATGAGTCGAGCTGATTTTATTATTTTAGTGTGACAATTAATGTTATTGTGTTGCAGGTCAGATGAACAAATAAGTTTCTTTCGATCAATGTCGAGCTCGTATGCAGTGACTTGGACGCTCCTGGTCAATTTTTTGACTCGAAAGACTTCTAAAGCCAAGCTTAAAGTGGCCGCCGCGCATCAATTGAAAAAATAAAATATATAAAAAATAATTATTAATCTCCTATTTTTCATCAATATATCTCAAAAATTTAAGAGATAAAGTTAGAAATTTGATCTGTTAAATCTTAGTCTATTTATTTGGATTATAAATCTTAATATGTAAGATTTAAAAAAACTAATGTTATATAAAATATGAATAATACTGCATTATTAAATTTTAGTATATTAGTGTACTATATTTTCTTATTATGTATTAAATTATTTGTTTTTTACTATTTAAATAATATCCCGTGCATCGCACAGTAAAAAATGCTAGTTTATATAATTTAAGGATACAATAGTGTATTGAAAAAGTGAAAAGGAATAGAAAAACAATACTATGTTTTTATATGTTTTATCAATACTTTCTTACGTGTTATCTAATAATCAATTTAATTATTATTTATTTTAAATTTTTGTGTGCATGTCACTGTATTGCAGGCTACTTTAAAGCACAATAGCGATGTTGATATATACGTTAGCCCTACAATGGAAGGTAAGGAGGGTAAAAGAGGGAACAATTGCCCATTTTATATATTCAACTACCAATTATAAAGAAACAACTTTACAACCAATGTTAATTAAATAATAAATACCAAGTGGTGTACTTACATTACATGTGCTCCCCCAATCATTTGTATTCAAATGTCAATCATAAGCTTTCTTTATTTTTATTTTTATTTATTTTTAAGAGTAATCTTTTTGGATCTCAGGTCTAGAAGTCGTTTGACCTATATTGTACCAATTTTATAATTACAATAGTTATTTAATAAAGAATATAGTGACAATAAATTTGAAATATATTTGTAACAAAATATTTTTATGGGCAAGTGATTATTTGAAGATTTATAATATGTTACGACTTTGTTTGGTTGCTAAAATATAATTAGTTAACCAATATAAGATTATGCAAGCAATTGTATACCTAAAATAGCTAGACGAGAGGTTTGAACACAATTTTCTAATAAAATTGACAAGAACTCGTTTTTTCTGCAAGTGTTTGCGAATCTAAAAATTTATTGGATTTACTAAATATTAAATAAGTTCTAATTAGTTAATTCACCGCGACTAACATTACCAATTAACAAGACTTGAGATAGTGTAGTATGTAGTCGGAAATAGCTATGTGTGAATATTTTTGTGTAGGGATGGCTATCGAACGTAACATATAGAACTTATTGGTTTAATTGTGTGTGAATATTTTCGATTTGGATTTAACATAATTCGAATATTCCATTCCATTTCTACCCCTAATTTTGTGTAATATATATGCATATTGGCACCACAAAAATAGTATATAAAGGATGGGATTCGAAATAATATAGTTAAAGGTTCGTCCTTAATACACGTTGATAGTCTAAAAAATCACAAATGATATTGATTCGATCATAAAGTGTAAAGATCATAGTGTCAACATGTCCCAGTCAACCCTTCACACAATTAATTTTATTCATTTCAATTTAGTTGTGGGAATACTTTTTAGGGTAAATTACGAACCCCTGAACTTAGGCTAAATAACAAAAAATACCCTACTTATCCATATAACCAAAATTCTCATCTGATTAACTGTTGATCGAGTTTTTTTAATAGAAAATATGGACAATCTATTATACATTCTGTTAAATATGTAAGAAATAAAAGAAAATATCTGAAATTGAGTAAAAGTGTATTCCATGTAATGACAAAAAAAAAAAAAAAAGAGTGAAAAGGCACATCGTAAGGGGTTGGTACAAGACGGAAACAAACCTCAGGGGTTTTTGGTAATTACGAATAGGTGAAGGCGGTTTTTGTAATTTAATCTAAGTGTAGGGGTTTTTTCATAATTCACCCTACTTCTTATAACATGAAATTAAAGTGAAATTTCTATTGAGATTAAAAAAAGCCACATTTTTCATTAAAATTATTCTAGAAAATACTTATAAAAACTAATAATGTTAAATTATTAATTTTAATATCCCAAAGCTAGAGATGGATTTCTTAAGTAAGAAGATGACCACGGTGGTTTATGCTTCCTGAACCACCGCCACGGCTGACAAACCGCCACGAGAATGACTCGTGCCACCATGTGAATTCAATGAAGAGATAGATATATATATATATGGCGGTGCCCCTTATCATCGGACTCTGCTCTCCAGCTCATACATGCCAGGTGTATATATATATAATAATAATAAAATAAATTCTCCTACCATTTTAATATTATTTCACTTTTATATATTTATTATTATTAATAATATCGATGTGGATAACAAAGGGAAAGAGACGCCTTTAATCATGTCGAATATGCTGAGAGTGACCGTACACCCAATCCATACCCTCTATTGCATCTCAAATCATTTGCTTCACTGCTCAAAAGTAACGGAAAAAAAAATATGCAATGAAATTGAAAACGACTCAATATTATCAAGTGTTGGTCCGAATATGTATGTATATATAATTTTTTATTTTATTTTTTGAATTAATTAATCATGCAAATTTCAAGTGTTCATATCCTTTTGAATTACGAGAAATTCATTTAGTGTTTTGTTATCACATAATGCATGACTAACAGTGTAGTTATTGCATTACATTGTATGTTACACCGAGTATCGAAAGACTTGAATGCTCCATCATAGGTAATAATAATAAATAATAATAAATGAATTTTCAATTCTTACAATTGTTATAAACCTTAACACCAAAAAAACACACACAAAATAATAATCATATAAAAGAAGGAAAATAAAGAGGAGGCAGCTAGCTAGCTGGAAAGTATGGAGAATATTATATATATAAAATATAGAGAGATATGATATGAAGAATCAAAGATCGATCCTATATAATAATAATAATGTGATACTTATCCAAAAAAGGAAATATGTTAAGAAAAGAAGAAAAAAATAAAAGAAACAAGAATTGAAAAAAGACATTAGTGTAATAACCAGCAGCAGAACTGAAACTGGAAGAACAGACTCTCTCCCATTTCCCTAATATTTTTATTACATTAAGACAAAACGAATGTACCAAAGTAGGAAACTTGTCCCCATTCATATTTACCTAGTAGAATTGGCTAGAAATGTTTATCGAGTGTATTAAAAATCCAATATAATATGTCTATTTTTTTTAGAAACAATTAATACGCATATTTAGCCTTGAAAAAACATTAATTTCTTTAGTATAATAAGAAAGCAACTATTTGTATCAAAACGCAAAATCCCTCTCGCCCTCGGAACTTTTGTCCAGTGGTTCGACATGTTTGATGAAAGGATTAAAAGGAAAACAACTACTCAATTGTGCAATAAGTTGAATTAGTTGCCGTATTCAACTTTGACAAATATTTCGAAAAAAGAAAAAAAAAACAATAAGCTAAGTAAATTTATTTTTTTAGATTTTTTAAGGGTAAATAATCTTAAATAACTGTAGATAAATAAATAATTGGAGCCGAATCCCGCGCCGTGGTCGCCTTGGTTACGAGAACAGATTTTTATCCGGTGCGCATATATTATGGGAGTTCATTTATGGGGTTCGATGAAATAACATTAAAATTGTATAAAATAAAATGCAATCGTTAGACTCTCTTTGCAAACATATTTAATTAAATTTACGATTCAAATACAATCGATATAAATAATTACGTGTAGCGTCTCACTCCAAATAAGATGTAGGGATCTGTTATACTTGCCCGCATGGGTGTAGCTCAACTGGTTCCGGAGGTGGTAAGTTGGTGCAAGGTCCTAGGATCGAATCCTGGCAGCCGCAGTGTGGGAATTTCAACTCCAATGAGTTGGTTCCTTGTGGGCACCAGGTCCGGGTCCGCTACCTTAACGGACCGTTGAGTTACCATGATTTACATCCTCCATCAATCCTTGTCGGGCCAAGGGATGGGGGGCTGTTATACTTTCCCCGTGACCGAAGAGCCCTGCCAAATTCCTAATTCCCACAAATAAAGAAAAAAAAAGAAAAAAAAAAAGAAAAAAGAAATGAAGGGCAAAGTCCAGCTGTCGTTTAGTTGCCGACGTGGATGCCCAGACAAACGACACGTTCGCCAACTCAACCTCACACAAAATCTAAACACAACAGTCATGACATATAATTGATTTGATGATTATGCTATTTAATTAATCCCCATATATATTACTCCCTTCTTTCTTCAATAGTTGTCACTTTTATTAGTTGCACACATATTAAAAAACTCAATAAATATGGATAGATTGTAACAAAAATATAGTAAATTACTAATATATATATTATATAGGGTAAATTACAAACACCCCCCTGAGGTATGGTTAAATTACAAAAACCCCCCTCTTGTTTGGATAATTACATCTAGCTCCCTCAACTATAATTTTTTCTTAGACCTCCACCTTTATGGTGCCAAATTCAACATAGTCATCTAAATTCCGTGAAATGTGCTCTAGTTTGTACTCGTTTTGTGTAAAAAATACAGTTTCCGATGCACCACAAACTTATATATACAAGCTAAAAATCACATATTATGATCATCTTTCTTCATAATGTAGAGTTTGAATGGGATAAAACGGGTACAAAAGTGATAATATTACATATAATCTCGAAGATTCCACTATATTTGAGGAGTTGAGGGGTGGATGTAATTATCCAAACAAGAGGGGTGTTTTTGTAATTCGACCATACCTCAGGGGGGTGTTTGTAATTTACCCTATTATATATAATCTGCCGTGTCATTTGAGTTTTGACATTGATACACTCTCTCTCTCTCCTCGCTCTGTGTGTGTGTGTGTGTGTGTGTGTGAGAGAGAGAAAAGTCCATTCATCAATCATTACTAGTATATATATAAATGCCTCTGAACCGTATATAATTGTCACTCAGAAAGCAATTGCAGAAAAAAAGGAATGAATAAAAGCTAGTGTAGAAAAGATTCACCATCACTATATTATATATATATATATAAACACTACCTCTACATAATTCTCCCCCATCGCCAAATGCTTCAATCCAGAAATTAACCGATTTTCGCTCTTAATTTAATTTATTTATTTTGATTTTTCGGAACATATCCTGGATTTCACTGTTTTCTGACCGTTATATATTGCCGCCTATACATACATATATATATATATATATATATATATATATATAAATATAAAATTGAAGATGCGAAACATGGCGAGTTCAGCCTCGCAGAAAGGAATCGCCGCCATTGTCGGCGTCGGCCCCAAGCTCGGCCGCTCAATCGCCCGGAAATTCGCCCACGAAGGCTACACCGTCGCCATCCTCGCTCGAGACCTAGGTCTGTTCATTTACACACACTGATACACACACACTGATACACACACTGATACACACACACACACAAAATAAACAAGCAGGTAGGCTGTCGATATTCGCGGATGAGATAGCGAGAGAAGAGAAGGCGCAGGTATTCGCGATCCGGATCGACTGCTCGGAATCCCGGAGCATCAAGGAGGCGTTCGAGGGGGTTCTCTCTCTAGGTTTCGTGGAAGTTTTAGTCTACAACGCGTACCACCCGATATCGTGGAACCCCACCTGCTTCGCCGACTTACGCCTCGACCGCTTCGAGAAATCCCTCGCCGTTTCCTCCGTCGGCGCCTTCCACTGCGCCCAACAGGTCTCTCTCTCTCTCTCTCTCTCTCTCTCTCTCTCTCTCCATAAACCGTGTTTCAATTTTTTAATAATATTAAAAAAATACATGTTAAGGTGCTGCCGGGGATGGTGGATAGAAGGAAAGGGACTATTCTCTTCACGGGGTGTTCGGCTTCGCTTAACGGCATTGCCGGTTACTCCGATTTATGTAAGTACTAATCCTTATATAATAAACACTAATCATGCTTACCAACGTTAATTATTGGTTTTGGATTTGGATTTAATTAAATAAAGGTTGTGGCAAGTTTGCAACGAGAGCCTTATCACAATGCCTTGCTAGAGAGTTCCAACCCATGGGAGTCCACGTTGCTCACGTCATCATTGACGGCGTTATCGGTGCACCTAGGTTTCTCTCTCTCTCTCTCTCTCTCTCTCTCTCTCTCTCTCTATTTCTCTCTCTCTCTCTCTCATTTTTAACTACTTTCATTTTTAGATTTTAGTTAGGTGGTGTTTGCCCAAACCAAACATATTATTATTATTATTGATATCTAACTTCAAAGTTGTAAGTGCATTTTGAGACAATTCATCAAGTTTTTCTCACCCTAATTGACTTTTTATTTTCTTCCAAAAACTTTTGCATATTCAAAACTTTGAAAGATTCTTGATGTATGAGAGATCCTGTGAGAATCTCGTTACTCTTTTCTCCTAACCAATTGAAATTTCTCAAAATAATACAAAAATAAAATCAAAATAATAATAAATAAAACAATCTAGTATCTATATATGATGTTTCTTACTTTTGTAGATGTGTAGCAAAGATATCCACATCTAGTTTTTTTTTTTTTGATAAGTTATCCACATCTAGTTTTCTTGTGGATAAGATCCACCAAAAAGATTTTTTTGGGGGTGTAAAGTTAAATCCACCCCCAAACGGGATTTAGATTTTTATTTTATTTTTCATTTTTTTTGTATTTCTCATACCAAGGTAGATCAAGTACTGTCAATTCATTGTCATTGATTCCTCTTGACTCATATATAGTGTCTGAATTCCACACCAAAAAAAAAAAGAGAAAGAAAACAAATGATGAATTGCCACAATCGGACTTTATGCTGTCGAATAAAGTCCCAAAATTATCCTATTTTTATTTTTTATTTTTTAATTTTTTAATTTATTATATGTTAGAATCTTACAAGCTTTTCTAGTATGTAATAATTAATTTTTTTTTAAATGGGCAGGAGCACAGTGTCATCGACCCCACAGCAAATTAGGTGGACCTCATCTTCATCTTCTTCAGTAGGGGAACATGGAGGAGGAGGAGGAGGTGGGGATGGTGTAATGGACCCTGATGTGCTGGCGCAAACTTATTGGCAGTTGCATGTTCAGGACAGGTCCACGTGGACCCAAGAGATCGATCTTCGTCCAGGTGGGCCCAGGCTCGTCTGAGTTCCGATTACATCATCAAAACATATTCCCATTCTTGAACCTATCTACTTCATTTGGCTGTACGTTATAAATTAACAGAATTGTCATCTCATAATATGATCCATGAGCAACTAAATTAAGCATCATGTGACATAATTTATATATATATAGCATATAATATGTAATCCAAATTTGCTCCGACGTCACTCGACTCCTCGAGTCAGTTTGGATTAGTTTGAACACTTACATTATATAAGCAAATATTCATATGTAGACTTTGCGTGAAGTTTGTTTGGACAAATGTATTTGAATCGAATATCGAGTAATTTAATTTGATGATCAATGCTCGTGGCATGTGGGGAGAGGCCCCTCTTGTGTAATTAACTTGTTTCCTAATATGGGTAGTATGTATGAATGATGTGACGAAGTATTTCATGATAGGGTGAGAAAGTGACGTGGGGCCCAGAAACGGGGCATGCTTGGGTGGGTGGACTGAATATGTATTCGTGTTGCAATTTGGTACACTCAATCTTCGATTCACTTGATACCATATCAAAGTATTCACACACACACACACACACACACACACACATGGACCACTACCTCAATATTTGTCGACTGGCTCTGGCCTAATCAATTATTGGTTGCAACACTTGTATTGTTTCTAACTTTGGATCAATGCCAAAGTAATGATTCAAAAGTAAAAGTACGAATTTTTTTGTAGTTTGTAAACTGTTGCACGAGAGCGTAGTTTATCGAGTGACAATAGCCGGTAAGGTTTGACCTCAAAGGGCTGATATGTAATTACACAGGAGGCTTTAGTTATTGAGTTATGAGATAACTTTTGGACTTGTGTATATATATATATATATATATATATATATATATATATATATATATATATATATATATATATATATATATATATATATATATATGATGAACTATTTTCAATTTTCATATGATGAATTGTACTGAGAAAAGGAAAGAAAAAAAGGAAGAGGGGGGATGTATAACAAATTGTACTGGGAAATGTTGTATGATTAAGAGCCGTCATTTCTGTTGGGGTGGGGGTAGGGGCCCCTCAAATGATGATTATGCTACGGTGAATCTGAGAGCAACATTACAAAGAGGGGGGGCTGCCGAATATATAATCCATGTGCAAATTGCAATCACTCACTCACAATCTCGAATTTATGATTATGTGGGTTTCTTCTTGTCGTAGATTAATTGGCACAGTTTTGTGTCTTTTTTATGACACTTGTGCTTTTAATTACCATTATTGATGTACATAACCAACTCTCCTTTTTCATGTTAACCTCTCCTAAAAACGGTACTCGTAAAAGTTGTTCACTACTCAGTTAAAAATATATTTTACTTTTTCGACCCAACGGACTACACACATCTTTAATGATCAAAATGAATCATAATCGATTTTTAACAAGTAAAAGAACCTATTGTGGAATTACCGATTAATGTTTTCACATGGTTCCTGGACATTCTACTAGTTTTCAACTTTTCAAACCATAATGTTTCAGTTTACTAGAACTTGTATACAGTAAAATACAAGTTCTAGTAAAATACATTTTTTTTCAGGGAATAAAAAAGAGAGTAGAATTTTCAATAACTGCCCAAATTCAGTACCTTTGTAGATGTGTAGATCAGGGATTGCATCAGAGATTTAAACCGTATAATCATTCATCTCCATCTACGCGTGTCATTAGCTGAGGAATAAAATGTTCGGTCATTGTTCATTTGCCTAGGGGATCCCGTTGGTCTGTAAAACTCATTAGAATGTGAATAACGAGGGTCAATGAAACTGCCCTGAATAAATTCATTCCGCTCTGAAATAGGGTTCGGTCCATACCTTGGCAGATGATTGGAGTGAGGTAATCTATGAGGAGGAAACTGATGCAGTCCACTTGGGAAAAAATCGGGGCGGAAATGGTAAATATTTTGGGAAGGGTAATTATTATATTCCAAATAAGGGGGTTCTCTTACTTGGACAGGTTGAATAAGGTTCGGATGTCTCCAGTTAGGTGCAGATGGACCTCCGTTTTGTTTTGAACTAAACTTTTCAGAAGTAGCGGAACTTTGACCAGGACTGTGGGTCTTGTTTTTGGCTGCCTTTCCGTGTTTGTTTAGACAATTCTTCTTCGAGTGAGTCGTCTCTCTTGTTCGAGATGGACCTGAGTGATGCAAATTCTTACAACGTTTGGCACCTATCACCACCAACAATAAATCTACGTAAACTAGTCATATTTGAGGTAATGTATATAAGAGACAAAAAAGCAAGATACATATGGTTACTCCCTTTGGACAAGAAGGTAAGATGTGTATGTATACCTTTGTATGCAGAGGATTTATCTTTATTCGAGACAGCTTTTTTCTTTCTCGTATCTCTTACAGTTCTTGCTGCAGCTCCTCGTTTATGCTTTTCAGAAAGTACTTCCAGTCTTTCTTCCTCATTTTTCCAACGCTGATACAACAGAAGGATTTAAAATATATATGTATATCTATATCTATATATATATATATGTATATATATATATATAATATTGAGTAGTATATTGGTTGGATTTTCTAGAAGTCGAAGATGAATTCACCTGTCTAAAAGTTTTCATTCTATAGAGGTTGCGGCCCTTCACTAGTAAAGGGAAAAGTGGATCAAGCATCTTCGTCCCTCTGCTCCACAGCACTTCAACCTGGTTTAATAACCACAAAAAAAAAAAAAAAAAGGATAGCGAAAAGGATCAAATAGTAGTTCCTCAACCATATTAATTAACCTTCTAGGCTTTAATTGTTTTTTCAACAAGTACCATCTACTATTAAAAAAGTCTTTTACCGTGAAAGTATGTTGTTGTTTGGCAGCACCATAACTTTCTTTGATAACCCTCCCAGCAACAGTCCTCCACCGAAGACTTCTGCTTCTCGGAATCTTGTCAGAACTGTTCCAACATATGTAATGTTATCAATCAAGAAGAAACTAAATCAAATCAAACCAAACCGTAAAACAACTACAAACTAGGTGAGATTTGGTACTTCTGATGTACTTTCTGCTTGAACAAGACGACATCTCCCATGCACACATCACCTGAGAAGAAAAATACCAAGGAACTGAAAAACCTAATAAATTCAAACTAAAGTTTCCAGATAAATCAAAATGTATGGACTGAAAAGGCAGACCAGTGCAGTTAATTATGAATGATGATCTGGGATAGAATGCTTCACCGCTTCCATCTTTCAACCTGCGGTGAGAAAATTCACGTCTCTCAATGCAATACATTACACCGTTAATACGACACTTTTAAAGCCACCGTGGCCTAAAACAAACTATAGGCACTCTTATGAGGAATTCAACTCCAAAAATGGCTTATAGTATGTACTAAGTATGAATGAACACTTTGTCCACAGCAATCGATAAGAAGACTACTCAAACGAACACCTTATGCAGTTAAGAACCTATCCGCACAATACGTTTGGCCAAAACTCATCGATACAACCCAAAACTGACCTCCAATGCTCCTTAATTCTTCCAATGCACTCTCCTTTAGATCCTGTCAGTCTCAAGCCATGTCTTCGAAGATATGCTTTACATTCCACCAACTTTAGTTCTTGGAGATCACTCCCCCCTGCATCACCCACACAAAACAAGCCAATTAACCGAAATGCACATACTCTTACATCCGGCGAATTCAAAATTTTTAACAGAAAATACTGTTTTATACAACAATTAAATGAGTTTTTCACTATTATCATGGTTGATTAGAAAGATGCACAGACCTCGAACGAGATGAGTGACTTTATTGCACATGGAATCTACGTCAGCACAATCTTCATCTTCATCGTCGTCCTTTGCATCTTCGTCTGCTGAATAATCCCACTCATTCCCATCACTATCATCATCTCTGAAGAAGAAGGGGGGAAAAATCAAATCGGAAAACCTATTGCACAATAAACCTCTCCGACATACGAAATTGAGCATATCTGTGGGAAAAAAACTATCTAGAGACGTAAATACCGAGAAGTCGAAGAAGAACTGAACTCCTCATCGGCGTCATCATCGCTCAGCGACGGAGATGATTTCGATTTCGATTCCGATTCCGATGAGATTTCGATGAAACTGCGTTTCCTGGATGTCTCACCAGCCATTCAAATTACCAAGCGAGGCGATCACTTGTTTCAGTGTAATTGTCCCGAAATAAATCAAAGGAATTTAATTCTGCCATGGGTGGCGCCGTGGACCGGTTTTTGAATTCTTAATTAATAAGAGCGAAAAGACGGATATTATTATATCTGCGTCATAATTTCTTTTCATTAATTAATTCGGTATTTAAACCAAATGAAATTGATATTGTTTTTTAAAATTTGGATTATATCTTATTATATATATTTTTTGAAGAAAATATTCTATTATTTTATCTAAAATATATTTTTATTTTTTAAATCTTCAAAAGAAAAAAAAAATGGTTGAACAATAGTGCAGTATATTCAGTATTTATGAATTTAAACTTTCCACAATGACATATATATATATATATATATATATATATATATATGTGTGTGTGTGTGTGTGTGTGTGTTAGAGGATCAAATAAGAATGTTCATTAACCAGCTCATCTGTATGCTCTTACAGCTGCAATAAAACACCACAATAATTAACTACAGAGCCTCTTATTACAGCCCTTTCGTTACCACCACGCTAAATAAAAATAAAAATAAAAATAATAAAAAATCGAACGACTTCTTCAGCTTCATCAATATCAAGCAAAAGCCTTCTAATAACCCTCCTCCCTATTCATCTCACTATGGATGCAAATTGTACTGCAACTACTTATAGGGCTAATCAATCAGCCCGACTAATCTCGTTTCGTCTCCTCTCTTATCCGCCTTTTTTCCTATTCTTGCATGGAGAAGATTATCGGGCATGTCGGGGTACAATGGTAATTGTGTCTGAAAACCGAATTCTCACAAGTGTCAATGTACTTTAGCAAGAGACCTGCTCGAAACACCGTGCAGTAATTTGACAAATCCGAGGAAACTGAGTTTTCCGTCTGTGTGTCTTATCCAATCATGAAGTACAGCATGTACAGGAACAGATGGCCCCAGTCCAAGTTCCTGAAAAAAAGATTTAAACAAAATTATATATATGTTTTAAAAAACAGAAAACCGAGACTGGCTAATTTTTTGGAAATAAATAAATAAAATTGTTATTACCGAAGCTAATTCCTCAATCATGATGGTTCTGTTTCCATCTTTCTCGAAGAGTTCATAGGCACAACGAGCATGTTGCTCCCATCTGTCGAGGGCTTCTAACTGATAAACGCTTAATGTGGCACCACAGAATTCCTCAAAATCCATTCGTCTGTACTGAAGTGCGTTAAGCTGTCATGATAAAAAAAAAAACACGATAAATTCAGAATTATAATTAAAAAAAGAAAATTATCACAGCAAAGTGGAGACAATGGGTTATATAAGGAGCGTACTGAAGCAAGAAAATCGTAAATGCGTGACTCGTTCATGGCATCGGTTGCATTCTTCTTTAAGGCCTGGCAAAATGAAAAGAAAAAGCTGAGACCACTTTAATTAATTACTAATTACTAATAGACTCTGAAAAATCGAAAAATATCACTGACCGCTTTGATATTGTCTAAATTTATAGTGCCGTTTTTGTTTGGCTCCAAATGAGCAAATTGCTCCTTCAAATAGAAAAGTTCGTCAACTGTCAGCGTCTTCGATAATGCCTGCATTTAATCCAGCCAAATAAATTTAAAAAAATAAAACAAAAATAATGTATGACGGAGGAAAGTAAACATGATTGCATTACACACCCGTAAAGCAGCTTTTCTGAGGGGAGACGACCTCATATAAGCCTTCATAAGTTTAAATATGAGTATATCCAACGGCACTTTCACTTCACTAGTATTTCTGATCCATGGATGACCTAAAACACCAAAAAAAAAAACACACTTTTTTGATTCATGGATTTCTGAACCTTATTAAATCAAACTTTTTTTTTGTTTAATTTATTTAGCGAAAAAGAATTAAAAAAGGAAACTCACAAATGGCTTGAGCAGCAGTCATTCTTTTCCTAGGGTCCTTATTCAAAAGACGTTTGACAAAGTCTTTTGCCTCGGAAGACATGGTGGGCCAGGGTTGTTCGTCATACGTCGGTTCGGCTTTCACAACGGCACGGAATATTCCAGATTCCGTTCGGGCCCAAAAAGGGCGGCTCCCACATAAAAGGATATATGCTATTACACCAACACTCCAAACATCTGCCTCTGTACTATATGCTCTATGTAATACTTCTGGTGCTACGTAATATGCACTTCCAACAATGTCGTTGAGCCTTTCATCTGCAGCAAAACAACTTTACACTATGAGGGCTCTCTTTTTTGTTTTAATCCATGATTAATTACATTATCGGGCGTTATTTGATGTTTGGTTAATCTTGTACGATTGTGTAAATTTATCTTGGTTAATCCTATCTTGACAAACAGACGAGGGTTGGGATGGATAAATAGGGACGAACCTGGTTTCACAAAATCTGATAAACCGAAATCAATGGCCTTCAATGGTGAAGTGTCTTCCTTGGTTGTGAACAAGAAATTCTGGTAAAGTAAAACACGCTGTAGTTAAAACAAGCTACAAAGAATAGCTTCAAATCCAACATAACAAAATATGCAAGATTCTTGAAATATTAAACTGTCCTTGCAATAACGCCACATGTCAAATTAATAAGCATTTAATTTACCCTACAAAATCCTACCTCGGGTTTAAGATCGCGGTGCACAACTCCTTGGAGATGGCAGAATGAAACAACATTCAGTATTTGTATCATCACAATTTTCGCATCATCTTCTGCATATTTCCCACCTCTGTAAGACAAAATTGATTTATTTTATTTTGCTGAAATATATAAAACTAAAACTAAAGAACCAACTAAAACTTTGTTTTCCTAGCTGAAGAACAATTTCCCTTGAAAATCAAAGAAGTACCTCGAGAGTATTTTATCTAAAAGCTCGCCTCCTTCACATAACCTGGATATATCAAAGTCTACAAGTGAATAACTGTTTTCAAAGAGATGATTCTGAAGTATCATTGGTCGATATTAAAAATCAACAGTGGAAGCTTACTCCATCACAACGTAGACATTTTCTTGGTCCTCATACGCATCGTAAAACTGTATTAGATTGCTATGTCCAGTCAAAGCTCTCAATATTTTCACCTCTTTTCTCACGTCTTCAATAGCAATAGCAGTCGTCATCTACAAAAGCAAAAGTCGAAATACAATCAGTGAAGAAAAAAATTGGATATTACTGCCCGTCATCTACCGTAAGGTTTTTCCTATCGAAAACTATGATATACTTGTTAATGGGATTCCGTAAGACACGATTCGCAACACTAAATGAATGAATCGAATTTAGGCAGTACAGTCTACATATATGATACATCGATTATTTCAGTTCGTAGCTAGAATCGAAGGTGTATCAAAATTCATAAGTAACCTATAGATTAAAATTATTTCAACAAAATTTATACATAAACAAAAGTAAACCTACAGATCAGATCTCTTTTCAAGTCTGAATCAACAAGTAATCCTATAATCCACAGTACACAATCAAGATCAAGCAGATAATCACTAAACAACACCAAACAACAATTATGAAAAAAAAAATTAAAAAAATTGTCAGAACCTTTGCTTTTGGAATAACCTTAACGGCAACTTCCTGCCCTTTGAGCTCCCCTTTCTTGAACTTGGCCCGGCAGGTATATCCAAAATGCCCTCTACCAACCTCCTCCCCCAATTCATACTTGTCGTAAAACTTCTTCGAAAACCCAAAGCTTCTGTCCAACCCCGCCCCATCGGAAACCTCCTTCCCCTCCGGTATCGCCGCCTCGTTCGGCTTCACGGAGCCATGGCGACGCGCCAGCACCGCCTTGATGTGCTTCGCCGGAGACGGCGGAGGAAACGGCCGCTTGAAGAATCTCCTGGGCGTACCGGACCCCGGAGCCGGAGATCTCGCCGGAGACTTCTTCGAGAAGAGGTAATGAGCCGGGCTAGGGCTGTAGAAAGGGAAAAACGGCGATTTTTTACCTCCTTCGTGATTCCCCTCGCTCCTTTTCTTCTCCTCAAAATTGCCAGAACTTGTTGCGTTGCCGTCGTTGTTATTACCATTCTCCGACGAAACTGTGTTCTCCTTATCCTGAATTCGAACGCCGGCGGGTTTGATTTCATCTGATGAATGAAAATTGGGTTTTGGGGAGGATTTGGGTTTTGAAGTACATATTCCCATTTTCACTTCAAAAAATAAAAATTACAACAAACAATGCTAATAATTTTGCCCTCTGATTGATTTTAAATTAGGTTTGTATGCGCAAACCCAAGAAAAAATTCTCAATTATTTGAATACATTATATTTGGGGGTTGAAATTTTTGTCTGGAGGAAGGATCTGTTGGAGAAGATGATAAAAGTAGAAGAAGATGGGTGTTTTTGTCAAGAAATAGGAAAAAAGAGGGCGGAAAATGAAATAACATATAGAATTTGGTAATTAATTTTGGTTTAAAGAAAAAGTTGTCATATAATTAAAGATCATGAATGTAGGGGCAGTGTGGTCCAGCCTGTACAGTTGGAAATTCCACGTGGCGAGGATATGCTGGATTTGATTGGATTATTAACTGATTTTTTGTTTTTTATTTTTATTTTTATTTTTTAATTAATAAGAGAAGTCACACGACTAGGGATGAAATTTCTAACTAGGGATGAAATTTCTAACGGCGAATTTCACCCATGCCGATTCGAATATTTTCGATTATGGAATAATATTTTTCTTTCTGAATTTGGAAATTTTGATTTTTTTCGAATTTTTAAGCGGACTGAAATGCATATTAGATTATTTATTTTTATATTATATGTAACAAAAAATATCGATTTTTGAACAAGCTTTTTACATTTCAATTTCCGAAATTTTGATCTTCAATTTTCGTTGGACGGAATTGAAATTAGTTTTTCACTCTCGGAAAATATTGGAAGAAACTGAAATGCTAAACGTCGCATCAATTCTACTAATACTGTTCGGACGTAAGACGTGATTTTAACCATTTTCGAATCTGGTTTTTGCAGAATTTAAAGCACATAACTTGTAGTCCATTTACTTAACTTTCTAATCCAACTTGAATCGGTTAGATAGAGTGTCGGGTGACATATTTATTCATTCATATTTTTCTCGTCCAACATCCAATCTTGTTGATTCATATTGGATTAAAAGAGCTAAATCAAATGATTACAAATTTCGTGTTTTGAGTTTTGCCAAATTTAAACTCGAAAATGGTAAAAAAAAATCAAGTTTGAAGTTAAAACAGTAATCGTAAATTTGAAAACGACATTTATTATCTTGTCATTTCAAACGGAATATTGCCAAAATTGAAAAATAAAACAATTTTCAAACTACATGTAGATGATTGAATTGTTGTGACCTAAGCACTTTTGGGAGGTATTGTAAAATTATTAATTAATCCAAAATAAAATAAAATATGAATATAGTATTATGAAAGACGGTGGAAAGTGGGCAATATAAGACAGGCTTAAAATCTTGAAAATGAGTAAGGTTTTGTCTGATATATTTGGGCCAAAAACAAAAGGGGATGGAAGAATAGACAATTCGACTTGTCTTCATCTTGCCTTGCAGGAATCATTTTATTATTCAAATTTTACTTTTCTATCTTTGCTTTCTTCCTATTGGTTAATTTTTGAATTCTATATAATATAATATTGTTAATAAATTACCTTGATTTGTGTATTTGCTACTAAGCACATTACATGATTACAATGGTTTAATTGACTTTTCAAGACACATGGTGGATAACATACTCATAATAGGGTACTTACAATATTATTACAATTAGAAATGTAAATGAGCTGAGTTGACTCGAAAAAATCGAGCTCGAATTTTTCAACGACAAAACAACCGAACTCAACTCGTTTATACCCCTAATTACAATCTTCACGTCACGTGGGCTTATGTGTGATCTATCCTAGGCAAGAACATAGGTTTTGGTTGCAAGTTTACAAATTGTAAGAATTTTTTGTGATCCAAGAAATATATATTGCAAATGCCAATGGTATTATTATAGGATATAGTATATACTAGAGTGGTTTTATTCGGTATTATAGATGGTACATTCGGAGGAATACGAGTTAATTTTTTCATGTTTGATTTACAGAGAGTCACACATATTCGAATGTGTGTCAAATATGTATGCATCAATACATACACATGTATGATATGATATAACTTGGTGAAGTTCATCATGTGTAACATAAAATAAACCAGTTTTATTAATGTAATCTTATATATTTCTAGTGTTATTGATCCATTGGTATGCATATTCGATTGTAAAGTTTGCCGGAGAATTTAATTGTTTGTAACATCATTTTTTTTAATAAGTATAGTATTTTATTAGCCCAAGACCTATGTTTGCAGTATTTTGGTCTACTCCATGTTCATTAATAGACCTAGTTTTTAATTGTATATAACCACTTATTCAAGCTATTCACGACCTAATAAATGGAGTAAATTTTTGGTCTATGTACTTTGTTTGCCATTAAATCGAAGAGAATTGGGTAAGAAGACGCATGTTTCCATTTTAAATTTATGCCTAAATTGGACCGGTACTTTTTCAATGCTCATGAGTAGAGGTGTAAATGAATTGAGCCTACTCGTGAGCTCGATGAGTCGGCTCGACAAAAGCTCGAACTCGAATTTTTTGAGCATGAGTTTTCTCTCTTTTTTAATTTTTTATTTATAACTGCTGAATCTCATGTTTGGCTAATCGGAAGCCGGCATTTAATTTAATATTAAAAAGAAAAAAAAGGAAAATTCTTACATAATACGATTGGCATGATGGCGGCATCTTCTATTTTCTATTCTAAGTTGGAAAAAAAATCTAACTACTGTCTTGTGGATTAGGTATTTTCGGACATAATCTTCATGAAGACTTGATGTATGCTGTTTTTGTTCTATATGGGTGGTTTATGACAACGGAAATTGTTAAATGTCATTTTAATTTTATTAATATTATTTTAATTTCGAATCTGATTTTGACTAATTTTTAGCTTGATTTTGGCAAAGTTTGAAATAAGAAAACTGTAGTCCTATGAGTTAGCTTTGTAGTCCAACTTGAATAAGTTAGATTGAATGTCGTGTGACAAAGTTATGCATGAATGAGTCGCATTTTGAATTTTAGATAACTCAAAATATCGATAGGCAGTGTTCACTCATCTAGTGTATATCTTTCGCACCCGTCATCCAATTTTGGTGATTTAAGTTGGATTAAAATAGTAACTCTGAGATGTGCTTTAGGTTTTGCTAAATTTGAACTAAGAAATTGTTAAAATCGTGTTTGAAGTCGAAACGATATTATTAAAACTGAAACACCTTTATCACATGCTTTTATGATAATATCACGATTAGTGTTTTCCATAATTAAAACTAGTCAAAAATCAAATTCATATATAATTTCAATTTTGATATAAAATATTTTAAATTACTTGCAATTTAGCCACAACTTCTTAGAAGTGGCAAACCTCATGAATTCTAAATTGACACCTTTTTCCTTTCACTTTTCCTTTAGTCATCCAATTTTTATTCTTCTCCATTCCATTCAATCATCTCATAACTTTCACCAAACAAGCAACACTCTTATTGGAATCCGATTTGGAAATATAAATAATTACGTACCTATTTTAGTCGAATAATAAATAAGATAAAAATGCATTATTTCATCAAGATGTTATTAATTGATAATTAATTAATTTAAAATATTAAAATAAATGATGTAAATTATCAAAATTAATTAACTGATCGTACTTCTCTAGCTTAACGATAAAGAGAACCCTAATTAACCAAAAATCAGTTATAAAAGCCAAATATTCTGGTTAAATTATATATACACAACTCAGTTGAGTAACTCGTTTTTACAAAGTTATACATTGAACTTATATGATGCTTATTTTATTTATTTCGTTGACTTTCTTTATTCAATATCACATACTCTATAATCAAGTAGTAAAAAAATAGTTGTCCGGCTTATGCATTACCGCATGCTTCACTATCAACAATCATCAAATTAAGAATGAAAGGTATGTTAAAATAAATTAACAGAGGGATGTGATAAAATATCGTTTTAGTTTAAATGATACCGTTTCGATTACTAATGTAATTTTCGATCATTTTTTAGGCTGAATTTGGCAAAACCCAAAATACAAAATTTATAGTTGTGTAAGTTAGCTTTTTAATCCAACACGAGTCACCAAGATTGGATGTCGGGTAGGAAAGATATGCATGAATCAATGAACGACCGCCAAAATTTTGATGTTATGAGTTCTAAAATTTAAAACGTAACTCATTTGATGCATAATTTTGTCACGCGATATCCGATCTAGTTGATTCAAGTTCGATTAGAAATCTGTTTAAAAGGACTACACTTTTTTGCCAAACTCGGACTATAAAATGGTCAAAATAACGTTCAAAGTTAGAACGGCAGTAATAAAACTGAATCGACACTTAACATTTCCGATGAACAAAATCGCAACCAGCAACAGGAAAAATTAAGATCCTGAATTAGTCCATTAATCACGATATAATAGATTCCTTGCACGCTAATCTGTCTTTATATTGCAATTGACTTGAAGAAAAAGAAAAAAAGTGGCAATTATGTTGAATGATTTGTGCTTGGGTATTGGAATTCAAAGTCAAAATAAAGAGTAATTTTAATGGGACCCACCACCACCATAAAACCCAAAGAGACCCTCTTTGTCAGTACAAGGCAGAGAAAGTTAACTGAAAAAACATATGTGATGGGAAACATAAAAAGATGTCAACATCTTAGAGAGGGACCAAATAATAAATAATAAATAATAAATAAAGAACCTTAAATGGTGGTAACATAACTATGTACCTATGGCTGTCTTGGCCCCATTTTCAAAAACGACGCGCATGCAAACCTTCCCTCCTCACCCTCTCTATTGTTACATTGCACTCACACACACACCCACTTACCTTAATGGGCCCAACCCTCAAAGTTCACCTACCAATGGTGTTTTTATTTTTTTTTTCTATTCCCATTCGATTTTTTATTTTTATTTTTATTTTTATGTTTATTTTTTATAAGAACATTCCATTAGAAATTTGACTCTATAAAACTTCATCATAACCTTAATTTATTAAACTTTAATTAGTAAACAAAATCGATTCGAAATATTTTTCATTCTGAATTCCAAAAGTTCTAACTTCCGATTTTCCATTTTCAAATTTATTTTGAAACGGAATTCATCAAAAAATAAATAAATTATAATATCGATATTATTGTGTATTTTCTATTATAGACGACTACGAAAAACAAAAATTCCCTATTTACCGATTCGGATCCGGAATTTTTTGATTTCGGAACAAGTTCATTTGTTCCAATTTCTGAAATTTTGGTTTTCATATTTAATTTTCGATTTTTCCAAAAATTTTGGAATGAAAATTGAAATTAGTTTTTCACTTGCAAAAAAATAAAGAAATTCTGAAGGGCTGATTACGATCTGATCCGTCCGATTCCCACCCCTAGGTCTCTCTCTCGTTTCCGATTCATAAAGGTAAATAACTTAACTCTAGTTAATATTCATGATGAATGGTTGTGTATTCTTACATACATAACTAGAAATGAACAAGGAGAACCAATATAATAGAGTCTAAAAAATTCATACCTTTTGAGTGGCTTCATCAATAATCAGCAAATCGATCAAGCAAATGGAACTTAACTTAGCCAGAATTTCTATCCCCGCCAAAACCCGACTCAAGAAATTCTGTCTGGTTAAGGTGACTCACATCACCCCACGATTTAATGCTCCATTTGCCTTCATCAGACAGGTGAAATACATTGACGGAAGTATTTAAAACCTTCGCAGCACAGCGCCTATGTGGCGAAGCCCTTTTGTGAAGGGCTCTAATCGTACCACCGTGCGAGACTACAACGATTCTCTCACCTGCATTATTTATTCCTCGATTGTTCAGAAATTGAAAAACGGCTGGCGAAAGGTTTCGTGTTAATGTTGTGGATTGAGCAAAAAACTTACCGATGTGTTTCTTTGCAATCTTTTGCAGAGCTGATGTGGAACGCTGGTATAGTTGATTAAAACTCTCTCCACCACCCTGCATGTATCGGTGGATTATGTGCAAAAAGAAGCAATCGGAACTTAATTGCCACAAAAATTAAAATAAAATATATCCATTGTTAAACTTAAGATGGTTTTCCCACAAATTTAGCTACAAATAGTGCATAACCGAACAAGGATTATTTCATGTAACGAAACCACATAGCACTGGGTTTATAATCATTTTGATTGAGTGGATCAAGGATTATTTCATATAGTTTATAAGATAAAAGTAGTTTACAGTAAGGATGGATAGCTAATCCTCTGCCTAACTGGATGAATTAAGTTTAAACTAAGGAACCACTGTATCTGCAAGACAAATAATTGCGAACCAAAGAGCTCTCTTGCACTTGATATACAAATGAAATTCCCTAAAATAGAAAGAACCTTTAAAGGCAAATTTACATTAAACGTAAGGAGATTGGAAGATAGTATAGCAATTTATGAGAAATACATTTTAGAGAGAGAGAGAGAGCATACTGGGATTTCTTGATCGTCTCGGTTAGATAAAAATGCTTGGTAAGCATCTGGATTAACTTTGGCAGCTTCGTGTAACACAGCGCCTTGAAGGTATCCAAGATGTCTTTCACGGAAGGCTGGATCTTTGGTAACCTGATTACATCGACACAGATCGTTCAGAATGATCCATTACCACTAACAGCACCCACATACGAAAGGAATATACATATATATATATATATATATATATATATATATATATATATATATATATATATATATATATATATATATATATAGCATGTCTGTGTGTAACAAGTAACAACATATACATAGCAAGAGAGTGTTGAACATGAAATCCTAGTGGTGTTGCAATGGTTAAATACATTCCCCATCTTTGATTAATGTGGTATATAGCAAAAGCTCTCTTCGATGACAACATCCATTAAGAAGTGTTGTAATTTAGACAAAACACAAATGACCTTTCAAACTTAAACAACCAATCAAAGAACTGATAGATTTCATGACCTAAGTAAAATATTTGGGAAAAAGTAAGGTAAGAAATATCATAAAATTATTATGTTACTGCATTTTGAAACGAACATGGTTTCACCAGGTAATCCCCTTTGTTTATGCACTGAATACTAACACCATTCACATGGTTAAATATGGCAATGAACTCCAAAACTCAAAGAAATTGTCTCAATCAAAATTAGCAAAAGATCAGTTTGACCTTTTCCAGGGCTACTGATTGGCTGTAAAAAGAAGTGCTTACGTATCTCCATTGCTTTAGTTCAAAAGGATAAAAGTGATGGCAACCAAAGCTAAAGTTGATCCTGAATTCATACCTCAAGTATACCACAGCCTTTTGCTATGGTCTCGGCAGTTTCAGATGCTCGCTTCAGGTCAGATGAATATACTGCAGATATGTTAGGCTCCCTTGAAAGCCGATCAGCCACCTTAATCAAGTAATAAAATATTCAAAATCATGCAATACCTATATTTTAATTATCAAAAAAAAAAAAGGTACACCAGAGATTGCAAGAATCATGACATACCGCAACTGCTTGCTGTCTCCCAGCATCGTTTAAGTCCACATCCAAGTGCCCCTACGAAAAATAAATACAATAATTGTAACAGAAGTATCGACGAAATACTATCAACTGGAACGTGAAAATGCTCGTATACCGATTCTTATTTCAGTTTAATTTCTCAGGAAAGTTTATTTGCAATAAAACATTTGAAAAATTCTACAGATTGCTGCATATTTAGTGCACTACAATTCCTAATCCAATTTCAACAACAGGAGTATTTTCAATGAAACTGCAGTTATTTGCTTTGCTTCATCTGTCTACTCTACTGAATGCCGTTTACACAATGACACGAGAAATCTATAGAGAAAGTGTAAGGAAACAACACCTGAATTCTACGATCAGCATTCCATTCCGTTTCACCGTGACGAATTACAATAATCTCCGCATATTTTGGACCATTCTCTGCGGAATCAGCCAAAACAGAAGCCCTGGAGAAATTTCAAAATCAACAACTCTTATTTTGCTTCAGGCGAAACTTTCAAAAAAAGTTTAAAATCATCGATTCCCCAATTTTAGGGACTCGAGCTATTTCGATCGAACCAAAATCAGAAATTAGCAGGTTACAGAAAACAAAAACAATCATCGTTCCGCGTCTGGAACGATTAATCAATGGAACAAATATGGAAACAAGCATCGTTAACAATCGGAATTGAACAATTTCACTATGTACCGAGATAAATACGGACCTGGAGTTTGAGTCAGCCATGAAACTGGAGGCGATCAACAAGTTTGGGGAGAACGGCTGGTAGATTTTGGGGCTTCTTCTGAAGAACAGCGGTTTCAGGCGACGGAGGATAGTGGGCAGCGGCGGAGGAAGGGAGTAATGGTTCGGAGATTTTACGCTACTCAAGCTTTAGTGCGTTCATGGCATGAGAATCGAGTGCTTCACAGGTTTGTACGTTGTGCAGTACCGGGATTCTACAATTACGGGCCGGGCCGAGCCATTTTGTGCAGGCCTGTTTGAGGCCTATTATTTTGTCATTTCATTATCAAAATTCATATTGAAAGTCCAAATACAATATTATTTGATTTATCAAAAAATAAAGAAATAATACAAAATTATTAGAGTTGGGCCGGACAAGGTACGAGTTTTGACATTTACCACTTCATTTGGGCCAGGCTAACAGAGTTTCAATTTTTATTCTTATATATAGTCACGTAAACGTTTAAATTCTTTTCTAAAATTATAAAAACTTGGTAAATGGATTTTTGTCTTGAAAATAAAAAACGTTGAGAAAAAACGAGTGGTCTTCATGTGTGGCACGCTTTTAATTGTCACCCGAGAAAGCGCGTTTTGTTGACTTCAATTAAATCTCTGTGTCGGAACGTTCTACTGTCCGACTCAAAATAGAAAGAATGCACAACGCCACCATGGGAATGTTATTACAAATTTATTTATGTATGAAAAATGAATTAGAAGTTGAGCGCCGAAAGTTTGAATTATTATTGCAATCTAGAAACCAGAACTATTTGCAGTATTTACCATTTAATTTCCAATTAATTACATAAATAATCTTGACAATAATCAAATACTCCCGAGCTATGATCAATTTACAAAAAACCCTCTTGTTTCGATAATTACATATATCCCTCAATTATGAATTTTCTTACACCTCCACCCGTATGATGTCAAATTCAACATAATTATCTAGATTCCGTGGAATGTTCTCTACTTTGTACTCGTTTAGTGAAAAAAATACAGTTTTGATGCACCACAATCTGATATATACAAAGTCAAAAAACACATCTTATGATCATCTTGCTTCAAAATGTGGAACTCGAATGGGATAAAACGGGTATAAAATTGAGAATATTCCATATAATCTAGAAGTTTCCTTTAAATTTGAAACCGCAATGGTGGACGTGTAAGAATATTTATAGTTGATGAGTAGTTGTAATTACCCAACAAGAGCGGAATTTTCGTAATTTGACCATATCTCAATGGTGGTTGTAATTAACTCAAGAAATAATTGTTTCTTAAATTTTGAAGTAAGTTATTTGTCAATCAATTTGTTCAAAATTCTAACATATTTACCATATTTACTTAGGTATTCATCCACTTAATTTCTTGAATGATTAAAGTAAACCGAATTTAGGTTCTTATCTCTTCAACGAAGGAGAAAAAATACATGTAAACTGATTATTGGATATAGAAATTAAATTGTTCGATTTGATGTGCACATTTTATTGGCATTGACTCCTTCGTCAACTATGTTAGTTCCAATTCACATTTCAAATCACTAAAGTTGGTGTGGAAATCATTTTAGTGGACGAATTTATCGTAGATGTTGTATTCGGTGAAAATGAAATATATCGAATATTATGTTATAATAGTAAGATGTACACACACACACACACACGATCACACACCCATATTTCTAATGATGAATATTGAACTAAATTACTCGATGCCCATACTGAAGTCGTTTATTAAAAACTCGTTTGAGTTCGATTTGTTAGTATAATATATATTGGCGAATCAGAGTTTGAACACGTAATTTTCGTTCAATAAATTATGAAGTTTGGTTAGAGTTCGAGTATGCACGAATATTCAATCTTCTCGAAATTGATTCGTTTAATTAGATACAAGTCTTCTGTGTTTTTCAACAACTCCTTTTTTGTTAAAATTCTGTTATTTAAAATTTAATGAAGAAAAGAAACGACCAAACCATTTTAATGCTCTTCTTGTTTGCAAAACCAAACTTCTTTGAATATCTTCCTTCAATTTCTTCTTCCGTACACATTCATCAACATTTAATTTTAGGTTTCACAAAATTTTCATATTTTGTGGAATAATAATAATAATAATAATAATAATAATAATAATAATAATAATAATAATAATAATAATAATAATAATAATAATAATAATAATAATAATAATAATAATAATGATATACCTAAATGGGCCGGCCCAATGGGCCCTCAATTTTATCTACTAATTAGGCCCATTACACGAAAGCCCAAGCTCCTTCAAAGTTAGGCTTGGGCCCAACAAAGTAAGCCCAACCTACTCAACGATATATAAATAGATGTTTTACTCATTTATTGAGGTACGTTCTCATTATTGGCAATTCACCTCAAGTTTTATTCTCTCTACTCTCTCTACGGTCCACACATCTGACTTGAGCGTCGGAGGGGTTTCCGCCGGATCAACCCCCGGCTTAGTTCACGTGTGCTCATTTTGTAGGGACCTCAGGATCATCCAGTTATCAAGCTACTGATCCGCTTTGCTCTCCCAGCTTATTTTCTACACCCCATAGGTGAGCTATATTTTAGCTTCATCATTTTGGCGCCGTCTGTGGGAACGATGCAAACCAGATCACGTAGCCAACAAGATCCTCCTGAGGCGTCAGCTCGGAGAGAGAATGACACAGCAAGTAACCTTCCAGTCCGTGGAGGATCGGGCATACCACCTCCTCCACGCGCCGCGGATCCACTTCCCCCACGTCCCACGGAGCCAGCTCCTCCACGTGTGGCAGATCCACCTCGCGAGGTTCAGGTGATCCCTCCTCGGGACCCACCACTCGCCGATCCAGCACTCCCTGCTCCTCGAACGGTTCAAATAACCGAGGATGCGCTCCAACGCATGATAGCGGAAGCTTCAACTCGCGCCGCCACAGAGGCTGTAACTCAATATATCGCTACGATGGGAGCAAACGCTCCCAATGCGATACCAGCACCAGCTCCACTTGTAGCGCCACCTGTGGCGCCACCGCCAATACCAAATCAAATAAGTGTCTCCTCCTCTATCTCGGATCCACGATCCCGAGTGCAATTATCTACCAACCACCGAGGGGCACAGCCCAGACAGCAGCGTCAGCGCTCACCCCCAAGGGGGAATGCGTCACCACGGAGAGTCCCTCTCTTTAATGAGGGAGAAGGCGAAGTAAACAGCCGAATGTCTCGCCAAAACCTTTTCTCCCAACCAAATAATCAAATGGGTGAGAGGATGCCTCTCCCAACAAGACGCAGTCCCTTCACCATAGACATCCTCAACGAGGTATTACCTCAAGGAGTAAAGATCTCGGGGTTACCTCAATTCGAAGGAACCACCGACCCACAGGAACATATTGAGAAGTTCAGTGCCATGGCGGATTTATATGGCCCGACGGACGCTGCGATGTGCAAAATGTTTCGTACCACTCTCTCCAAGAGGGCAATGAATTGGTTCAACTCTCTACCCATAGGGTCGATTGACACCTTCGCTCGGTTGTCAACCCGGTTCACCAACCAATTCGCCATCAACAAACAATATGCCAAAACCCCAGCTCATCTTTTCTCTATAGTACAGAGAGATAACGAGACGCTCCGCAACTACATTAAGCGTTTCGTAGAGGCCGTCCACGAGGTCCCCAGTGTAGGGCAAGACATGCTCTCCGGGATTATGCAGCAGAACTTGAAACCGGGTAGATTCAAAGAATCTATCGCCGGAAGACCTCCAGGCAACTTAGAGGAGTTGCTGAATCGAGCCGAAAAATACGTCCGGATAGAGGAAGCCTCTACCCATGCTCCTCCTAAAAGGAAGAGAGAAGATGACCGTCAAGACAATAGGAGGCGCGATGATCGACGTCCACCACTTCCACCTCAAGGCCAACCCTCTTCCTCCTACAATAGGTTCACTCCGCTAAACACTCGCCTCACGGAAATCCTTCACGTGATAGAACAGAAAGGTTTAGCAGAGCCTCCACGTCCTATGCAGCCAAACGCAAAGCGAGAAAAGTCGGATCGTTATTGTCGATTCCACAAGGACAGAGGGCATACTACGGAGGAATGTGCACAACTCAAAATGGCGATCGAGAGGCTGATCAAACAAGGCCATTTAGGCGAATACATTGATAAGCCGCGAAATAAACGCCGCGATGATCCTCCGCGTCGAGATAACAATCGAGATCAACAACAAAGACGAGAAGATGGGGGTCACCGACGTGACCTAGATAACAATGATAACCAGCCTACCCGGGGAATCATCTCCTTCATTTCCGGAGGACCAGCGGGAGGCGATTCACAGAATGCAAGACGCACACTCGCTAGATCAGCGCGCATGAATCAAGAACGCGCTTCTCCATCCGAACGCATATATCAAATACGAAGACCTGATCACAGCATAGTCTTCAACTCCTCCGACCTCGAAGGTCCAGATGAAGATCATGTCGATGCATTGGTAGTAACAACAACGGTGGCCAACTTCTTGGTCAAGAAGATATTAGTGGACGGTGGGAGCTCAGCTGACATCATGTACCTCCACGCTTTTAAGCAGCTGGGCATAGATAATGCCCGGTTTAATCCCGTCTCCACACCCCTGAAAGGATTCACTGGAGAAGGCATTTTATCCATGGGAGAAGTAGAGCTGCCCGTTTCCTTAGGGGAAGACCCTTGTCGAATCACCAAGCTAATCAAATTCCTCATCGTCGACAAGCCATCTCCCTACAACGTCATCTTAGGGAGGCCAGCCATCCATACATTCAAGTCTGTACCTTCCTCCTACCATCAAAAGTGGAAATTCCCAACCCCCTATGGAATGGCGGAAATACTTGGAGATAGACGTCTCGCCCGAGAGTGCTATGCAAGGGCCTTACGAGAACCTTCCAAGAAGCCTAAACCATCCGGAAGGGGAGACGACACCCAAAAATCCGATAAACGGAAGTGGGTCAATGCGATCATCGAGGACAATAAAGAAATCCTCATCAGTGTACCAGACGATAGCATCAAGCTAGCGGCTGTCGAAGAGCTTAAGCTCATAGAGCTCACACCTGGAGATAATTCCAAACTCCTACGCATCGGATCCGATTTAGATCCTGAGATGGAGAAGCAATTAGTCCAATTCTTACGGCACAATGGAGACGTGTTCGCTTGGAAAGCTCAAGATTTGTCAGGCATCCCATCTCATGTAGCTCTACATCGGCTTAACGTCGACAAAAGGCTGAAGCCGATCAAGCAAAGGAAACGAACATTTGGACCCGAACGCAACAAGCACATCAAGGCAGA